ATATATATTTACCTCTGGGTGCGGTTGAATGTGCTGCGTTGAAAGTGGTGTTTCGATTTGAACACGCGCAATGTGATATCTTCGCAAATCAACGGAGTGCTGCGCTCCCCGCTGGGCGCCGAGTTGGGCGGGTTGCCATGGTTACACGCCTTTTTCTTGTGAATTGCTATAGTTGTATTTATACAAAGAGTGAATAATGAGGGAAATGATTGTTCAACATGTGTCAATGTGATTATTTGGCGATTGATGTGGGTAATACATGGCTAAATAATACAGATGCATACTTTACGTTTCGGGTTGTGCTTCGCACCTTTGATCTTACAAATGGTGCATGGGCGTACAACGATGCTTTCTAATCAACAAACATGTGGGAGCTGATAAAACAAATTATACAGAACGCTATATCCTCATAGCACAATACACATATATAACTTACGTTTTGGGTTGTACTTCACATCCAGGATCACGTGAGATCCATGGTCGAGTGTAGCAGGTATTTCCGCGTCCGCGCTTAGCCCGAGAAAGTTGCATTCCCACCGTTCACGGTAGATGTGGCTATAGGGGACCTAATTACGAGTGTAGAGGGTAGAATCAGAACACTATTTGGCAATATCTGCTGCAAGATTAGGTGTATCTACATACCGTAGGTAGGCCAAATTATCGAGATCCTCGTATCCACATAGATCTATATACACTACAAGATAAAGCATACCTACACACAGTATCGTTCACGGTAGATGTGGTTATATGGGACTTAGCAATGATCAAGAGAAAAAAAGGCGATTAAAATAATCCTATCTTTCAATATTTTGACTCGACGCATAATATGGAGGTGGTATGAATCTAGAAGCCTGGACTATTTAGATTCCCTTTAGTGTTGTACACCCACCTCTCACTGAACTGAACTACACTACTTTCACTTACGATTTGAAATATTCTGATGAAACACATACCGCCATATCGATGGATACTCTTGCAGATACAATGCACGTGTACAACCCAATATAAACATGGAAACATGCGAACTGAAAATTTATTTATATCCGCATACATACAAATCAAACATATCATAGTGTTTTAACCCAAACCCTAAAACCCTAAAACGATACGTACCATAGTACAGCAGTCCCTAGGTAGTAGATATGCCAGTGAGAACAAGACAGAGATCACAATTTCTTCACACTCGCCCCTGACGATTAGTTGGTTGCCAATCAGCATCTGATAGAGAATCACGCGCAATGCATGTCGGCTGAGAGCCTGTCCCACCTGTAGAAGTGAGAAGTAGAATATAACGTGATCTGAGAGGTACTAAAGCTACAAAGCCGAGTGCTGTTCAGATATATACGAAGATATAGATTTCCGAGCGGTACTTGAACAGACAGCCCCACTATGAATTGGTTGCCGATCAGTATGTTCATACATACATACATACATACAAATATGCACGAATGATGTATATATGTAGGTAAGTATGAATGTATGCACGTATGTGTGTATGCATGTATGCATGTATGTCTGTATGTATGTGTGTATGTATGTATGTATCTATGCCTGTATGTATGTATGTATGTACGTATGTATGTATGTATGTATGTATGCATGAATGTATGTATGTATATATGTATGTATGTATGTACGTATGTATATTTGTGTGTATGTATGTGTGTGTGTGTGTGTGTGTATGTATGTGTGTGTGTGTATGTATACATGTATGTATGTATGTATGTATGCATGCATGTATGTATGTATGTATGTGTGTGTGTCTGTGTGTGTTTGTGTGTGTGTATGTATGTATGTATGTATGTATGTATGTATGTATGTATGTATGTATGTATGTATGTATGTATGTATGTATGTATGTATGTATGTATGTATGTATGTATGTATGTATGTATGTATGTATGTATGTTGTATGTATGTATGTATGTATGTATGTATGTATGTATGTATGTATGTATGAAGGTAGGTATGTATGTATGTGTAAGTATGTATGTATGTATGTATGTATGTGTGTGTATGTATGTCTGTATGTATGTATGTATGCATGCATGTATGTATGTATGTATGTATGTATGTATGTATGTATATATGTATGTATGTATGTATGAAGGTAGGTATGTATGTATGTGTATGTATGTATGTATGTATGTATGAAGGTATGTATGTATGTATGTATGTATGTATGTATTTATGTATGTATGTATGTATGTATGTATGTATGCATGCAT